CGGCGGTTGCGTTGCGGCCCCTGGTGAGTACCGATTTGGCGCAATTCGGCTCTATTCCAGCTTTCCGCACTTTTCTTTCTTCAGACTTTGATTGCTTTTTTTTCTTTATGTTGTGTTAGAGTTCTCAGAAATCGTCAGCAAATGTGTCGGAAAGATGAGTACGGAACCTCAGGCAAAATGGTATTTGTGCGACGCAGCAACGCAATCGCTGCGCGCCGATCGGCCGATCCTTATTGCGCTTATAAGCGTTATAAGGATCGGTCGATCCTTATGAGGTATGGAGATACTCCAAAGAAGAGCTTTACAACAAATGCTTCTATTGCATGACATGACTTCATGTTACCCTCGTAAAGTCTTTTATCATTCTCAAATATGACTTCTGTTTTATTGTAATCAGCTCATTACAATTAAGGAAGCTGATGCAGACGTGAAATCAATCATTCACGAGCTTTCGGAGCTTCGTTATCGCATAATGACTGATAAACCATTAGAAGATCTAAGTGATACGTCATACAGTTATAAGATGTGGAACAAAGCTATAGCTGATATGCGAAAGAAGGTAGATAATGGTTTAAAAAAGTTTTTAGCCATATAATTGCTACACACCACACATCAGTCTCAAATAGCACAGATCTGAGTAAGAGGCAGAGGCAGAAAACAACACGAATCAGGTAAAACTCATCACTCTTCGAAACAGATCCGTAACGGTTATGCTCATATAATGTCTGCCTTAAAATCTGGTGTGTGTTGTGCAGTAACATAATGCATGCTTGATTCATAAATCGCAATGTGTCAACATATAGTTTTCAGCATGGGGAAGAACAAGTCACATGGTTCAAGATGAGCTGGTTGTTCAATGAGTGCTACTTGTACAGAAAAGTAATCGGCGCCGTGGTTAAAACAAAGCATCTCAAAGATTTTGACATTTTTGAAGAACAAAAAGTCGAAGGATTCAATAGCCAGTATGTGAAGTATATCTATAAAATTATTAAATTTGTTGTAATCACGTCAGCCTCGAGCAAATAAAGGACGGAATAAACTACATATTTTCTGTCGCCAAAAACCTCAGTGAAGAACAAGAGAAGGAAACTTTAGAAATACTTTTGAAGGTATGATTGCATTTCATGACCAAATTATCTCTGTTCATACACTTTCATGAAAAGGAAATGCTTTTACAGATGTGCTTGTGGGGAAATACATGCGATTTATCACTTTCCTGTGGCGATATGACGCAGATGGTAATTGCTTTTTCAAACTTTCATTGATCTGAGAAATTATTTGGGAAAAAAAGAAAGAGAAACCAGTTCTTTCTTCCAGAAACAATCTCCAATAGAAGCCGCACGACTTTCGGATAGCTCTATCCTATGTAATGATCTGAAGGATGCCATTAATTCTTTTTTCTTAAAGCTAAAGTGAGTTTTCGAGATAAATCTGTAACTGTTTGGTTCTACTTTATTGCAACGTTCGTCTAGTTTCAAAGATTTAGCATATTTTTACTCGATCTTTTTCATAATTTTTAAATCTCATGAACTTAGATGATTTTTGAAACTACCTGTTCTTATGGAAGCATTTCATTCGGATTATTTCAGACCGAATCAAGGTGGATCCCGGCAATTGCATATTGTACTTGATAATGCTGGTCCGGAGCTCATGGGTGATTTAATGCTGGCGGAATATCTTATGGGAACAAAACTTGTGGATAAGACTGTTTTGCATGGAAAGGTGCTTCTTATTCCTCCAAATGGTTCCAAAACTAACTTTTTTAGCACTTCAGGAATATCCCTACTTTGTTTCTGATGTCACACGTGGTGATTTCGAGTGGACATTAGCAGAACT